GAGATTTCACTGGAATTGAGTACGTGTAACTCATTTGTTACTGGATATACTCATCCATACATTAAGCAAAAGCTCGTCGTGTATGTTCTGGTATGCTGTCTCCTTTGACATGGACCTAAACTTATATCACCCAAAACCATGCATGCTTAAATAAAATATATTACCCAAAGAAACAAATCAAGAGATCGAGCAAAGATGAAACCAATTAACAAGATCTTAAGAAAAAGGATGGCAAAATATAATGCATGTGTACACTTTATAGTGTAAAATATGATTTATAGATTAAGGAACCTATGTGACATGATTGGATGCATTAAATTTGCATTTCAAAAAGATTTTATATAAAATATATTTGTTAAAATGATTATTTATACTAACAATAAAATATAACGACTACAACAATCTTAATGACTAACTTTGTAATGTATATCTCTACCTCGAAAGTGAATTTCTGACATAGAGAGAAGCCAAGTTAGTGAGAAAGAAGTTATGAGAGATTGATGTAACAACCCAAAATCGCTAGGTCAGAGGCCCAACTGATTGCTCAGAACGGGCCGTTTCAAAAGTGAAACGGGCCGTTCCGGAATAAGAAAAATGCCCAAAATTGAAGAAGTAGAACGGGCCGTTCTGGTTTGAAGAACAGGTCGTTCTGGTGGGAGAACGGGTCGTTCTGCTGGGATTGAGAACGGACTGTTCTAGTTTTGGAACGGACCGTTCCAGTTGAGAATTTTGCGTAGTTTCGAAGGGTCCAGAACGGCCGTTCCATTTTTGGAACGAGCCGTTCTGGTAGGTGAACCTGAAATCCTATAAATAGTGCCCCTCACCTCTCATTTTCTCACATTTTCTCATTCTCTCTTCCTATTCTCTTCTGTTCTCTCTTCTTTCCCTCTTCTTCTCTCTGAAGACCAAGGGGCACTTAGAGGAGGAGACCAAGAGATTCCTGTTTTAGTTTAACTGCTGTTTATCCAGGTATGGGGGAAAAAGGGATTATTTGTATGCAAAGTTACATGAGAGAATTGGGTAGACGAGGAAGCTCGTAGGATTATGAGTAATTTTATAATTATTTCTGTTTGGAGAATTATTGGTCTTATGTTATTCTGTATATATTTAGGACTACGAATATATGATTAATTTGTAAAAATGATGCTTTGAAAGAGAGAACGAAATTATAGAAAAGTGCCTGTAAGTTAGGTTTTGGAAAAATTAGATTATTTTTGTTTGAGGAATTAATGATTCCATTAGATTCTGTATGTGTTGAGGATTAGAAATATATATTTAATTTGTAAGAATTATGATCTGGGAGAGAGAACGAAATTGTATAAAAGTGTCTGTGAGTTAGGTTTTGGAACAATTGGGGATTTTACTATTTATGTTAAGATTATGTTAAATATGTAATTTCATTAATTATTATATTAATCTATGAATGTTATATTAATTGATAAGAAGTGATGATCTAGATGTGAATTTGCTTAAGGGGTGTGTAAACCCTTATTTTGTTGGACTTATTTGTTGAGTATGTGATATGGAATTGTATATGTGGTATGTAATTGTGATATGAGATGAGATGTTGTATGAATGTGATTACGATGTGTTTGTGGTCCCTTACACGAATGATCGGGGATGATACGAACCCTGAGTAGGTGATGCTTCAGGGACGAGCGTACTCCTGGATGATCAGGGATGATACGAACCCTGGATAGGTGATGCTTCAGGGACGAGCGTACTCCTAGATGATCAGGGATGATACGAACCCTAGGTAGGTGATGATTCAGGGACGAGCGCTTTAGGGACGAGCGTACTCCTGGATGATCAGGGATCAAAATTTACCTAGGTAGGTGATGATTCAGGGACGAGCGCTTTAGGGACGAGCGTACTCCTGGATGATCAGGGATTATACGAACCCTGGGTAGGTGATGCTTCAGGGACGAGCGTACCCCTGGATGATTAGGGATGATACGAACCCTGGGTAGGTGATATTTCTGGGACGAGTGTACCCTTGGCATAGGGTGGGATGTGTGAGACAATTAATACTTATGTCGGGGGTGGCACGACCTTGGGCAAGAGATGCTATAGGCGTGACCTTGGCATAGGGTTGATTGCAAGATTTGTGATGATTGTTGTGATTGCGAATTGTGACGTGATGATGATGCGCGATTGATAAAGTTATGATACATTGAAATGTTTATGAATATTTTGTTAAGTATCGAGTTATAATGAGATGATATGTTGTGTGTTTGTATGTACTTTACATATAGATGTTTTCTTTTCTCACCGTACAATTTTGTGGATGTTTTAGGTGAGGAAGATCCGGCTGCGAGTGGCATCTAGAATGCCAACAGTTAAATTAGGGGTATGCTCTGATATTGTGACATCGGGGCAGAGGACTTTTAGGACAGAATTTTTATATGGATTTGGAATTGTAAATATCATTTTGAAAATAATTTGTAAACTTTTGTGTTTCATTTTCTAAATCTTTAATATTGTGGTTATTGAAGAACGATTTTTGAAGTTTCTCATGTGAACCCTTTTTACCGAAATTTAAACATTTATTTGTAAAGTTACAGTATATGTGTTGGGGTAGTAAGGGTGTCACAATTGAACCCTTTGCTTGCAAAACCATGACTAGATAGAGAAGTAAATAAGATTTGAGGTTGCTTGTGTGGAGTGAGGAGGGTTGAAGGTACAAGTTATGGTATTTATACGGGTGGAAGTGGATATGAGAAATTTATGAATTCAAACTGATTCAAATCCGTCTAATCAATTTAAATAAATTTTTTAGTGTTTATGTTAGGTTAAATTCAAATCACTTAAAACTCAATACTATATGAGTTAGATAATATGTTTTATATTTTCAACTTGTAATCCGATCAAATCCAGTTATATAATAATAATAATATATTTGGTTGATTACTTGTTTAAAATAATACTCGTTATTGTAATAAGAAGTTGTATTTTTATATTGATAATATAATAAAATAGAATATATTTATTTTAAATTTTATTCTATATTAATTAATATAGGTTGTTTGAGTTGATAATAATATAACAAATCAATAATTTTGCTTTGGAATTTAGTCTATATCATTGTTTACTTTATTAATTAGTAACATAGTATTTACAGCAAAGTATCAAATAATTTACATTTATTTTAAAATATTTAAATTTTATAAATATAAATAACTTTAATTATGTTGACTGAATTGATCAAATCGTGATTAGATTGAGTTGTTTTTGATTTTTTTAAAAAAATTACACAAACTTAATAATCTAATCCATTAAATTCCAATTCGATCATATAATAAATTTATCCAAACTCAATCCTAACCGAGATTTTTATAATATTTATAAGGGTGTATGAGAAATAATTAAGAAAGCATACATTCTCATCATCTTGAATATGTCATTTTTTCCCTTATTTATATGACATATCCGTATGTATCTCATATTCATATTCTCTGCTCTTGTGCTTAAATAAATGTATTATCATTTTTGCTGTCTAAAGTTGAGTTTGAAAAACAGTAAAAAAATTTATTTTAATACTGAATCATATGAATAATTAATTATTATTATTATTATCAATTATAATTAAAATAAGATTTTATTTGAGTAAGTTAACTAAAAAACAATTGTACCAAAAAAAAAAGTTGACTAAAAAATAATTATAAAATATTTAGTTTCATTTAAATACAACAAAACATTAGTTTTTATAGTCAATCAACTTAAAAAAAAAATTTATTAAAAAATAATCACAAACTTCAAAGTTTTAACATTCACAAAATCAACTTATATTTTAAAAAAAAATGATTATAAACTTATGTTATTGTCTCTTTTATTTACAAATAACTTTTTTCTAAAATAAATAGCTGAGCTTAGAGATTATAATCTCTCACATACCTTATGTCTTCCTAATTGCATTTTCTCCACCTATATGGCCAAGGGAATCGATATGAATTGAATCTTTAAAATACACAACTTAACAAATCATGCTGATGTAAGGCAGAAAAGGGTAAAGTATTTAGAGTACTTGGATGAGAAATTTCTTTCTATATAAATTAAATAAGTATCTTATAAGAAAGGAGTTTTAGATGTTATTCTTCAATAATAATAAAAAATGTTATTCTTCAACAAAAATGCATAGCTATATTTCTTCAACAAATGCATGAACTAATTTCGATGGTACACTTTTTTTCAGTTATTTATTGTAAAAATTTGCCAAGTAATTACCCATTTAAATTTCAATTGGATGACCTCGCATTTCGTTTTTTTTTTTTTTTTTCAAAATTTACGCTTAAACATTTATCTTATACACAAATCATAGATTCAAACTCGGTTAATATAGTAACCTCAACCAATGAAAAAATATTTATCTTAAGCCATTCAAACTCGGTTACTATCAGTGTAACCGCAACCCATAAAAAAATCTATCCTAAGCCATTTTACATAATTTTTGTAATTTAATATATATAAAAACTAAGCATAGTTTGTTTAAAATGAATTCATTCCACTTTTCAAAAAAAAAAAAAATCAAATCATTTGTGTTGATAATAAAACTTGTTAGCTTACTAAATAATATTTTACATTAAACAAACATTCTTATTATTTTCATAACGTTTAAACAAAATATATAAGCCTTCATAACATTAAAAAATTTAAATTATTTCAATAAGTCATTATCATTTAATCGAATAGGATTTAAATTTAGTAATCACGATGAATTCAAAATCGTATTGAGACTTGCATAAACCGTCTAAACTCATCACATAAACCTAATTATAGTCCAATGTTAAAGTATGACAAGTACCAAATACTAAAAGGGCCACGCGAAACTCGAACCAAAATCAGAATCACAAATAAAGCATGTTTGAAGACAGAAAAAGAAGAAACAAAGCATTTTTTTTCGTAGTAATTTTATCGTTTTCAAATTTATAGAGTGCATGATAATACACTAAACTGATGTTTTGCCGAATCTCATGATCACTCTAGGCAAATAGGGAAATTAGTAAGCAAAATAAAATATTAAACTCATGAATTATCTTAATAGCCCTGGAGTCCAAATACGTAATACAATTTGGTGATTCCACTTTAAATATGCTAAGGTCTGCAAATCATAAACAGCTGTAGCATAAAAAAAACTCATGTTACTTTTGGTCCAAAAGGAACATCACGAAGTTAAAATGCAAAATTTTGACCGACATATAAACAGTGGGAAAATGAAAATGATTCAAGTGCGATCTGCTCCCATATGAACGGCCATCAACTCCAGCAACAACTGACCTGCCCCGAGCCAAAAACTCACGTCATCAGAATGCAAGATCCAAATTATGACTTCTGTACATACATTAAACTTAGGTAAGGTGACAAATGCATGATACACATAATTTTTTATGCAGAATATAATGGATTGAATAAAAATAACCTATTAATCTATTTAGATCTATTAAAAATTCACATAAAAATCTAATCTATTTAAAACAAAAAATCACCCAATCCATTAACAAGTTTTTCATGGATGGATACTCAATCCATCCATAAAAATAACTTTTATAAATTAACTTATTTTTATTTTTTAAAATATTTTATTTCTCTCTTTTCTTTTTATGAGTCATTACATTCTTATATAAAAATTCTCAACTTTTTTTTAATGTGAAATTAGTCTTTTTAAAATACAATCTAATAAATATCTCATATTGTAATCCAATAAATATTGAAAAAATAATGGTTCACTAACCGTTCATAAAATTAAATGAATGTATTGGATCTTATCCATTATTTAATTTTATTGTAATAGATGGATTAGATGAATTTACTTGTAGATGAATCCATTGAATGATATATAAATGGATTCATTTGTCACCATTAATTAAACTGCACATATTGTTCACTGACCTACAGACACTTAATATCTTGACGAACTAAAAACCTAATACAAAATGACAACGTCTCACCAATAAATACATAAAGAGAGGGATGTCGGATACCGAGTCACACAATGAAATGATAATATATAAGACATGATGCTACTAGATTATTATTAGCGATCACATAATAATGTTTATGATTTATGAACCCACCAACATATGACCTGTGTTTTGAGCATTTTCTAGCTCTACAATGAAACACTACAAATCATGGATAGTTTCAAGTTCACACCCATCGACAGCAAAACCTATTAGTTTTAAAAAGTTTTAATAACTACATGGCATGTCTTCTTAGGCCTTATGTCCAGGATGAAAATCTAAATAGTCATGGTCCTCAGACAGTAAAAAGCACCCACTCAAGAGTGTGGGGAAAAAAATGCTAAAATAATAGGTGTACAGAGGACAAAAAAGATTGAAAAATTACCCAAAACACAATGAGCATAAAACAATCCTAGGAACATTCTACCCCATATCAATTCGAGTGGTATCAAAGTGATAGAAACAGGTTTGACTTAACCCTAGTGTAGACAAACCAATTTGGAGTGCCAAGACTCATCAGCCAGGTAGGGTCTAAGAACAGGAACCCCAATTCCAGGTAAGGCTCTTGACTCTTATCAGGATGGGTTTTGAGCGTGGCTTCTTCTCTATATTCTATAACAAATCAGAAAAGAGAATGCACACTAAACAAAATACGTAGAAAATTGGAAGATTTTGCAGATAAGATGAACACAAAAATGTTAGTAAAAATTATTGTAACTTGTAAGGCAGGATCAGGGTGGAAATTATGGGAGGGAAACTGTAAGCACAGTATAGCCAAGGCATAGGAAATTATTGTATGCAATCTTTTACACTAGCAAGTTAAAATTAAGGAAAGGAAAAACACCCATACCGGATGCAGGTGATCCTGAAGCATAAAGTTATGTTGTTAATAAAATGATCGAGGTATATTAGATTGCACAACCCATATCTTCTACTATCCAATCAAAGAGCACAGGTACACAGATATGAGCTCCAGTAACAAAAATCACAAAGGTCCCTCAACTACGTAAAGAATATCAGTTTGAAATTCAGGGAATTTAAAGATCTAGGATTCAGTTGTAGTCTTATTTTGTTGAGCAAGCCACTTCTGACTTTTAAATGCAGTTCACAATTATCTAATAACTGAGAGGCTATTAAAATTATCATTGAACATCTATTCTCAGAAGTCAGAACAACAACAGCCAATAAACCAACGGATACTTGAAAGTTACAAAAACAATAATTTATGCACTTGGCACTGAAACCACAATCATTTAACAAGGTTTGGAATTGAGACAAACATGAACAACCGAATCCCACCCTAAACAATCGTAAAGGAAAGCATGACTATGACCCCAAAAACAATAATATACACAGTGACATTGTAACAAGCAACAACAAAAAGCCACACTAAGGTGAGATCTTATGCATCGATCACAAGATTTACGAGTGTGCAAAAAATCTAAACCAATCCGAACCAATCCAGTTTGAGAAAAAATCTGAACAAAATTGATTCGGTTACCTGATCCATCTTTACAAAGTGGATAAGTTCAGTTTGATTCTTCTAAAAAAACCGACCAATACATGGATATAAAGTGAGTAACTGCACCGAATAAATCCAATAAAAAAAAATCAATCCATATTTTTAAAAAACCAAACAAATCCACTTTATAAAATAGTGATCAATTAACCGATCCACTTTATAAAATGGATCAGTTTGGTTTGGATTTTTCAAATATCCAATGCACGAACACCCCTAACAAGATGTCATTATGTTAGGCCATCTTAACAAGCAAAACAATTCAAAAATATAAACACGGAATGAGAGACAAATGACAAATAAATAAGTAATAACACATTCCCATTTTCATAAACACCCCTCACCGGGGAGGGGGTGAGGTGCACACACACAAGAGAGAAACAATAGACAAAAAAATACAATCATCTACAATAACAATAATGAAACCAACAAGAGTACGAGCTGGATTCAATACATTTACCTTTTAAGTCGCTTTATCATCTACAGGCTTATCTTCCACGTCATTAGTGGTAGCAGCTGCCTCTCCTCCCTCGGCACCTTCCGCCGGAGGCTGAACTTGTTCCTCCTCCGGAAGTGGCTCCTCCACATAGTCATTCTCAAAAGCATCCGCTGGAACCTCATAAATCCTAACCTGAGGCTTAGAAGGATCCTTCACAAGCACATATTTCCCCTCATTCAATTTCATACACAAATCCACAATAGACTTGACAATCCCCCACATATTCGCGGTGTTCAAATTAATCTGCGCCGCAAAGTCCCTTGGCTTATACCCCACCACAGCCAAAATCACATGATTAAAATGATCACGGGGATGAATCCTCGACACATAACCCAACTTCATCATATCCGCACTGGCCAACAGAGCCTGAGCAGTCCACTTAGCCAACTTATTCGCATTATTCTTAAGCTCAGTGGCCAACACAGCACCCCTCTGAGTCTCCAACTTCTGCCTCCAATCCACACCAGAATACTTAGGATCAAACTCATTCAAAGCATTCAAAGTAAGGAACGACCTCTGCTTATTCACATCAACCACACTATGCACCTCACACCTGGCAACAAGATACATATCATCATCAAGCTTCCACCTACGATACCTATAAGCAACGGAAGCGACCTCCTCCCCTTCATTAGCAAAAGGATTAGCCTCATCAAGAGTGACCTTATTCCCGTCCCTAATCAGAACCTGCTGCGAGAAATTCTGGTTGATATAAGCAGCCTCGACGCTGAGAGAATGAGCGGAGTTAATGTCATCCTTGGCCTCCGGCAAGGGCTCCTGCGAGGTCTCGTGGACGGAGAGCAAGTCAAGCTGCGACCCATCGCGCTTGTCGAAGAAGAGCTTGTTCCCGACACGCTGGACGACAATGTCCCATGAATAAACAGACCTGGGAGCGCACATGAGGGTGGAGAGGATAGTGTCGGTGGCGAAGACGGTGGCTTTGTCCTCGTTGGCGAGTCGGCGGATGACGGGGTCATCGGTGGTAGTGACTTTGAAGAAGTTGCGATTCTTGAAACGCTCGAGGCGGCGCTCGTTTTTGGGGGTTATGCGGTCGTAGGAGCGGTCGTAGTACTCGAGGGCGCCGCAGAGGAGAAGATCCTCGGGCTCAGGGACGGTGAAGGAGAGTTTGGAGAAGGTGGAGAAGGGGATCTGGTCGTGCATGTTCCACTCGGGTTGGATGTCAACGGAGGATTTGAACACCGCCGCTTCGCGCCGCTGCTGGTTAGGGTTTGACCGGTTCATGTGGTAGAGCCGATCGCGTCGCGCACGGTCCTTCTCGGCTTCGCGCTTGCGAGCCTCCACTTCCTCGTCGCGCCGCTGCGGGAGCTGCCGCTGCTGCTGGAAGCGCCACCTAGGACCGAACTTCGGCCGCGGCGGGGGCTTGCCGTCGACAAGGCGGAAGGAGGCGTCGTCGTCGGCCGAGGCCGGGAAGGAGTCGTCGTTGGTGAAGTCGAAGACGGAGTCGGCCGGGTTCTTGGACCGGGCCGGGTTGTTGAAGTTGCGGGTCCAGTCGGCGATGCGGCCCAGTTTGTCGGAGCGGGAGAAGGGGGCGAAGGGGACGTTGAGAGGGAGGTTATTGTTCGTCCCTCCTGCGGCGGCGTCCGGCGGACCCCAGCCGTCGGCGTTGAAGGGTACCGCTCCCACGTCGAAGGATTTTCCCATTGGCTCTTGGAGGTGATAAATCGGAGAGCTCAGAGAGCAGGAAGATGAGTGAGAAACCCTAATTCACCGAGTCTTTTAATTACTGGAGTCGTGTGGCTGGGCTGGGCTCTAAATTAGTGGGCTGGGCCTTTTGCGTGAATCATTTATTGGGCTTGACAGAGTTTTCCTGTGATATGAATTAGAGACCGGCCTATGTTTTGTCAATAAATTTTAATCAATATTAGATGTGTTATATTATGTATATGTTTTTATTTTCTGGTGAAGACAAGATGCACAAACTTTTTTTTTCTTCATTTGAACCACCCTCAAAATCATGATATAGAATTTATGCAAATTTTTAGCCTAACATTGATCCTGGTGTCACCATTCAAAATTATTGATTAAAATTAAATATGACCTAAAATAATAAAAGTATATTAAAAAAATATGTTAATATGTATGCTGTTAACATTTATATGAGTATTAAAGAAGATAAATAATTCATCTTAAATCTTAATTAAAGAAAATAACCATAAAATTAAGTTATCATTTATTTCTAATTATATATTTTGAATAATACAGTTTTAAAATAAAATAAATAGCCTAACTTTATAATTATTTAGACAAAAATGAAAAATGAAATAAAAATAATGTTTTAAGAGACAAAAAAATAAATTTTTAAACTTAAAAGATCAAACTGAAACCAAAATTCTATTTTTGCCGAGAAAGAACGTGGCAAAACAGAGTTTGATGATAATTAAAAAACTCCACTATTATAAAAGAATAAATAACTTATATAAGTTCCAACTAAATTAATTAGTTGATAATGATATATTTTTCATTCCTATAATATTATATATATATATATTATTTTTTTTTAATATAGAGGTATAACTTCTTTTTTTTATTGAATCAGCTCCTATAGGAGCAAAATATACCTGAGTTATAAGTTAAGAAATACACGTATCAAACAACTTAAGTTAACAACTATTGTTTTATATTTTTCATTTTGATACCTTTAAATTTTTTATTTTAGACACTCGTTTTTCTCCATTAATAATATAGTTTACGCCGTCAAACTGGTTTTTTTTTTTTTTTTTAAAAAAAAAAAAACTTTTTTGAGTACGTTGACTTGTAAATTGTATTTTTTTTTTATTTTAGTCCTTGAAAAAGAAAACACTTTTAATCTCTACGTTTTAAAGACTAAAATAACAAAATCACGATTTTTTAGGAAAAAAAAATCTTTTAACAAAGTTAATGCCAACACTTGATAAAATATGAGAGCAGAATATTCTATATCTTGAGAGTTAAAGAAAAAAAAAAAAAGAAAAAAAAAGGAATTCGTTTATCGTCGAAATAGAAAATTTGGTATTAATTTATTAATTCATTGTCCTTCCTTTTACTTTCCTGATCCTTCCCAAAGTCCAAACTGGATATTTTATTGTATCTGAAACAGAAACTCACGGGGTAACCTTAATTATAAAATAAATAAAAGACCTTTTTCCATGAGATTTTGCAACTTCTATGTGCAACTGAAAGCAAGAGAAAGCAGAATCTAAATAACAATAAATAATAGGGATCGAAAGCTACATATGTGCTACATGTTTATATATATATATTCCAACTTTGACATTTTCTTACTGCGTATTTGTATGTTGCTGTCTCACACGCCTCTTCTTTTTTTTTTTTGAAAATAAGATAATACTTTTAGGAGAGAAAAAAAATGTTTCAACAATTATATTATTGTAATATGAGTTAAATAATCTAATATTATTATTCTTCTACACTATTAAGAAATGCCTATATGTACGTACCTAAGTGACCTTTGTTAGAGTACATAAAGAGAATCGGAAGTTGATTAAAACTTAGGGTTTTAGTTATTTGTTAGGATTCATTAGTTAGCTAGGTTAGTATTGGTATATAATGTATAAATGTTAACAAAACTCTTTCGGATACGTTTTCTTTATTGTGTTAAAACTTTTAGAAATCATAAATTTTAATAATTTTTACTACTGAATCAAGACAAAAACATGTTAAATAATAATATATGTGAGATCTATAAAATTTACAATTTTTAATAAATTTCAATTAATATAATAAATAAAGTATTAAAAAGAGATTGCTACCAAGATTTATTATTAGGTATACTTTTTTGTTATAAAATTTTAAATTAGAATAAGACACAACTTTATATATAATCATGTACTCACTTAAATTACTTTTCTAAAATTAAAAAAAAAAAAAAAAAAAACAT